AAATATTAACAAGGTGAGTCATGAATATTAATGAGTTGTGTTAGCGAAACAAAAAAACCCAGTAAAACAGCAGACGAACAGCGTCAATCTCGTTGAGAGCCTTCCAGTGCTCTACGAAGCCGTCAACTTGCACGGCCGTCTGTATGGTCTGACGCATCATACTCGTCCAGACTCGCAACTTCTTCCTGGAGCCCATCTCCTTGGCTATGAAGTTGCCGAGGTGGTGCGCGAACTGTGCGTGGCATGAGAGGGGAGATGTTTTAGTGGTCTGGAGTTCATCTTCGCTTCACCATAAATCATCATCGTCGTCGTCGTCATCACCGTCATTAATATCATCATCACCATCATCATCATCATCGTCGTAAACATCACCTTTATTGTCATCGCTAACTCACTATCATCGCCACAGTCATCATCATCATTATCACTATAACCACCATCATCATCATTATCACTATAACCACCATCATCATCATTATCATAACTATAATCACCATCATCATCAATATCATAACTATAACCATCATCATTATCATAACTATAACCACCAACATCATCATTATCATAACTATAACCATCATCATCATCTTCATAACCTGATGCCCTTGTTCTGTGAGGTCACAATCGTTACCGATCTGACCGCTTATGTTCATCTCCGCCTCGCCATGCTGTCATTAATATTAATGAAGTAGCCAGTTATGAATATTAATCATGCGATGACGTCATGAAGTCTAATTAGGTAATGACGTCACGAAGTAATTGATGGTCTTATTGATCATTATGCCAATAGCAATTATTAATAAATATATTATTACTATAATCCATAATTAATATTATCATTTGTTAATTATAAGCAGTTATAACAATGACCCTGGTGATGTAGATGGTTCTGGGCAGGACATGAATATTCATAAGATAGTAAACGACTCGACTCTCTATGTGGCCTGTTAGTTAGTAGGTAATAATTAGCATAAATTCTTATAATTAGCAATATGAATTATTAATCACGGAATACAAAGTTTACAACCATCGTAAACATCTGCAACAGCAGCAGCAATACAAAAAACATCACGCACTTTCAAAACACCAAAGGAGATAAGAATAGGAGTAATGACGAAATATGAACTTTGAACTCCACCGAACCTTGAACCCTGTTCGCCAAATACTTTTCGCCCTGGTTGAATATCTTAATGAAGGAGAGATGCCTATCCAGGTTGTCGTCCAGTGGTTCGTACTGGGATTCATAGTGGGATATGCGGCGTTTGAAATCCTCAATAGCCTCCTCTTTGTTCGTGTTTTGGTAATCGGGGCTCGAGACTTTCACCTCCTGGTTGATTGGTTAGTTGGTTGGTTGACTGGTTGGTTGGTTGATTGACTGGTTGGTTGGTTGATTTGTTGGTTAGTTAGTTGATTGATTGGTCGATTTGTTGGTTAGTTGATTGATTTGTTGGTTAGTTGATTGATTTGTTGGTTAGTTGATTGGTTGGTTGGTTGGTTGAATGGATGGATGTTCGATTGGTTGAGTGATTGAATGACTGGTTGGTCGGTTAGTTGATTGATTGGTTGATTGATTGAATGGATGGTCGATTGGTTGTTAGTTGAGTGAGTAATAGATTGATTGGTTAGTTGGCTGGCTGGCTGATTGATTAGTTGAATCTTGATCATAAAATAATCCATTAGATGATTCCACAACTTTATTAACTTACTGAATGATAGAGG